TCCCACATGCCGCGGAGTGGCTGGGCCCGTGAGCCATGGCCGCTGAGCCTGCGCGTCCGGAGCCTGTGCTCCGCAACGGGAGAGGCCACAACAGTGAGAGGCCCGCGTACCGCAAAAAAAAAAAAAAAAAAAAAAAAGAGGTTTTGTTGCGCATCAGAAGTAAACTCCTTCCAAAATCCTGCCATTTGTGACAACGTGGATGAACCTGGAGGGCATTTTGCTTAGTGAAATAAGCCAGACAGAGAAAGACAAATACTGCATGGTATCACTTATATGTGGAATCTTAACAATAGTAACAAAAAGTTAAACTCATGGAAATAGAGTAGAAAAGTGGTTACCAGGGGCTGAAGATGGGAGAAATAGGGAGAGGTTGGTAAAAGGGTACAAACTTTCAGCTATAAGATGAATAAGGTCTGAGGATCTAATGTATAACATGGTGACTGTTATAATCACCATATAATACTATATGGGTGGGTGATAGTATTATAGTGGGTGATAATACCATATTGTATAATTGAAATTTGCTGAGAGTAGAACTTAAGTGATCGGTATGTGTTAATTAATTCGATGGGGGGAAATTCTTTCACAATGTACGCATGTATCAAGTCATGTTGTACACTTTTAATATCTTACAGTGTTATTTGTCAATTATACCTCGGCAAAGCTGAAAAAAATTTTAAAAACTCCTTCTTTTGTGATACTTTTCTTGTAAGATAGAGCAGGACTTGAATTGCTTTTTTTCCCTTCATTCCATATCTCTGAATCTGCCTCCATTTTTTTTTTTTTTTTTTTTTTTTGCGGTACGCGGGCCCCTCACTGTTGTGGCCTCTCCCGTTGCGGAGCACAGGCTCTGGACGCGCAGGCTCAGTGGCCATGGCTCACGGGCCCAGCCACTCCACTGCATGTGGGATCTTCCCGGACCAGGGCACGAACCCGTGTCCCCTGCATCGGCAGGCGGACTCTCAACCACTGCGCCACCAGGGAAGCCCTGCCTCCATTTTGAGACTGAACTTCTTGGGGCCCTAAGTGCCTGTGAGCTGAATGACTTAAGTTCATAGTCATTCAGCAAGCGTCACTGGCGGCCTGCTGGCTGTACGTCCGGGACACGCGTGCTACAGTGGGGCAGCACTGGAGCCAGGCAGGCCTGGGTTCAAATCCCAGCTCTGCCCCTTACAAGCTGTGTGACCTTTCCAAAGTGACTTAATAATAACGTTCACCTTTTTTTCCTTTTTTGGCCTACCAAGTATCAAAACAAACTCTCTGCTATAACTATGTCCATTTTACAGACTAGGACACTGCCTCGGAGAAGCCACGAAACTTGCTCAAAGACAAACAGCCTGCCAATGGCGGAACCAAGACTCAGGACTCAGATCTGTGTGACTCCAAAGACATCTTGTTCCCATCTTCTGTCTCTGTCATTGCCCCACTACTTATCATCACTAAGACTCAATTTCCTTGGGTAAAGGATGAGAATTATGATATCTGCATCAAAGATTGGTGATCAAAGGGAAAAAGGGTAGGCGAGCCTGGCTCTGGGCCTGGCACACAATCAGGGTTGATTTCTCAACTTCCCACCCTCAGGCACAAGAGCTGATATCAGATCTTTTCTTAAGAATAAAGGAATGCAGGGGTACTACATGGGTGAAAGAAAATGGAGAAAAGAGATGGGGAAAAAGAGTATTATCAAAGATCAGGGGCTTCCCTGTTGGTGCGGTGGTTGAGACTCCACCTGCTGATGCAGGGGACACGGGTTCGTGCCCCGGTCCGGGAAGATCCCACATGCCGCAGAGCAGCTGGGCCCGTGAGCCATAGCTGCTGAGCCTGCGCGTCCGGAGCCTGTGCTCTGCAACGGGAGAGGCCACAACAGTGACAGGCCCGCGTACCGCAAAAAAAAAAAAAAGATCAACTGTGGCAATTCTACAACTTTGTCCCAGAACCAGTCAGGGCACAGCAACTCCTAAAGGGTGTAGGACCCAGAGACTACAGGGCCCCAGGAAGCCCATCAAGAGGTCAGAAGGTTGAGCTAATGCAGGAGCCCCAGATTACAGAGCTGGCTGGTACATTAGGGTCTCTTTACTATATGTTATCAGAGGGCTGATATGTGACACATGTGACAGGGATAAAAGATAAAACACAGTATCCACAAGCCCTCACTGGGCCTCACCTTCTTTAGAAGGACAGATCATTTGGTGCATGGCCAGCTATGGGCCTTTGTTGTGCTGAAGAGAAATGCACAGAGCCAGAGAAAACAGGCCATGGACCAGCGGTTCATGAATATTTAGTGCACTTTTCCGACGTGCCAGGCTCTGCTCTAGGGCTGGGACTCAGCAGTGAAGGAGGGAGAGAGTCAGTCCTTGACCTTTGGTGGAGATATTCAGGATGCAGGCAAGAAAGATGTCCAAGAGGTATTGTTGGTGGCAAAGTACAAAAACAGGCCAAAGAGAGGCAGAGGTCAAATCATGGGTGGTCATAGGTACCTTGTCAAGGAGTTTGGACAGTGTCCTGTGGGCAATGGCAGCCTGAGAACAGTGTGGAGGATCCACTTGAAGGGCTTGAGCCTGGAGGCAGGGAGTCCAACAAGGAGAACCTTGTCTTTGGGGCTCTGCCCCCTTCTGGAGACTCCCTTAGCCCTCTGAATGCATTTTTAAGGTGATTATCTTCCCAGCTGGAGTCACCAAATTGGAAACCACTCTCAGAAGGCCTGGACTGGTAATTATGCCACTTCAGAAAGATGCCTTTTGCCGAAATACACACCTGACAAGTGCAACTGAACATTTAGAAAGAAAGGGGCAGAAAAGGAAAACAATAGTAAATTAATTAGGATAATCAACTGTAACCACAGTCTAGATGAAAAGGTTTTCAGTAACAATTTCAAAAGGACACAGCCAGAATGGACAGGATTAAGCTTCACAAGCCATTTTCTACAGCTCACTATGAATGTTTAAGTAGTTGGTGAGATCTAAAATCCCTCTGTAGCAGTCACATAAGACAGATACCGTGAGATTTCTATCAGAAGCAGAAATAAAAACTCCAGTGGGACTGCTTTGATTTTGTATTTCTAAAATGCACTAATTGGCTCTTATATCCCCAGTTCCTGTCTCTGATCTTGCCCTGGATAGTTTTAAAAGCAGGTTTAAGCTTAATTTTTTCTTCTTTGAAGTCAAGTTCAAGCTTCCCACCCTCAACAAGTTCCTGCAAGGTTCCAGGAGTAGGTGCAGTTGGCTTTGCTGTAAATCATATTACCGTTCTCGATATTTACAAAAGGAGGTAACTCTTCCAATGGAAGGGTTTGGCCCACATTATCTGTAAAGTCAGTAACCTGCTTGTGTGACCTGATTCCATCCCAAATGCACGGATTCCATTTTGAAACAGGTTCTGCTGAGTTTGGTATAATAGAACCAAGGGATGTGAAGCCTGAGAAAAATCAAAATCCCTTCTAGGGATTTTCTTCATTGTAAAACAATAGCAAAACTGATTTTTCTCCAAGTTTCCCGAAGTATCTGGATCAGACCTCAGGAACATACCAGAAGGTAGGTAGCCCTGTGGGAAAACTTCATGAGCCCAAGGTCATGCAGGGACTTAGACAGATGCAGTCCTGGGACTGGCATACTCAGGCCACTACTGACCCCTGGCTCTGCTGTGGCTGTCCAAAAAAATCAGCACATGGTGGCTCACACTTCACTGAGAAGATGGCTACTCTAAAAATCCTTTCCGGGGTGGAGCCTGTGCGGGGTGGCAGGGCGCCAAGGCCTGAGCCGTGGGACCCGATCGAAGGCGGTGCCGAGGCCGCTGGGCCCCAGCGGGCCGCCCTAGCCGCTGCCACGGGCATCAAATTTTTAGAAGTTATCAAACCTTTCTGTGCAGTTCTAACCAGAAATTCAGAAACCTGAAAGGAAAATCCAGTTTAGAGAGAAGGTACTATGGACTGCTATAACTCTCTTCATCTTCTTACTATGTTGTCAGATGCCACTATTTGGAATCATGTCATCAGATTCTGCAGGTCCTTTCCTCTGGATGAGTTATTCTTGCATCCAACAGAGGAACTTTAATGGAATTGGGTATCTCCCCCATTGTAACATCTGGTTTGATTATGCAGTTGTTAGCAGAAGCCAAAATCACTGAAGTTGGAGATACACACAAAGATAGAGCCCTATTCCATGGAGCCCAGACACGTGAGCATCAACACAACTAAAGAGCGCTTTCCAAATTTGAGAAAAAACAAAAAAAATCTTCTCCCCGCTCTGTTATAACATGTTCCTCTCTCAGAGACGACATCCACCTTCACCTTCAATTCCAACTTCATCTCCAACTGAGTTAAAATTCAATTTAACTCACATCTGATATCCAACCCTCTGCTGCTATCAGTTCACCTCAACCAGTACCTGCTG